AGCATTAGGGGATGGGGGAGGCTGCACTAGATGTTTCCATATGGGTTTGCAGCCCTGTATAAAGGATGCACCAGACCAGAGATTCTTGACTCCCATGTAAAGAGCTGTATCTTGGCGGCAGAGTAGTTGCTTGCATCTCCTGGTAGGGTAGGAAAAACGCCAGCCTGGAGCCCTTGAGGGCCATTGCTAATGTGAAGAAGCCCTCCAAGGAACATTGCTAATTTTACTGAAAGTCCTGGGGCTTCCCTTGAGTTTTTTGAGATATTTTACCTCCAGAGAAATTAGGGATGCCAATGAAATTAGCAGCTCAGAGAACAAACCCATCCTCATTCAAACAGGGATAAATTGCTTTGAGCAGGGCCCAGTTCCATGTGAGTGTGAATTCAACTCAAAACGGGATTTGCTCCTTTTGCCTACTGGTGTCTCTCCCTGCCAATCCTTGGTGGGTATAAAAACCTTACACTGGTGGAAGAGCCTACCTCTCATTGACAAAGAAGTGACAGATCCCATAAAACCAGGGACATGCAAATCAGCAACATCTGAGCTCATGTTTCCAGGCTTTGACTCAAAGCTCACCCTGACTGGAGTCCATTGCCAGGCATCCCCCTGGCGCTGCAGTCTCAGAGGAGGAGACTACTTCAGAGGTGGAGGGATCCAGATTTGGGGATTATTTTCTGCCCAGCGTCACCGACGAGTGTAGGCTCCAAATACATGTTAACAAAGAACAAACTCCTTCACTGCAGCAGTCCACCAAAGCAGGCATCTTTATCTAAAGAAACGCTTGCGTCCATATATGCCCTCCCGCCCCTTGAGATCAGCAACAAATGCCCTTCTCCGGGAACCCTCTGTGAATATTAGGAGGGTGAGCACCCGGAGGAGGGCTTTCTCTGTGGTGGCGTCCCATCTATGGAATGCGCTCCCCAGAGAGGTCTGCCTGGCGCTGTCGTTATTTGTTTTTCGGCGCCAGGCTAAGACCTTTTTATTTAAAACTTATTTTAATTATTAAATTATTTGTATTTCTAGGATTTTAAATTTTTAGCCGAGATGCACCGGAGGTTTTTAAATAATTTTTTTATTGTTATATTGTTATTTATTTATTTATTTATTTTGTTTCTGTTGTGAGCCGCCCCGAGGCTTCGTTGTGATGGGGGCGACATAAAAATGTTTTAAATAAATAAATAAATCTTGCAACAGTCCACAGATCAGGAACCATAGTCAACCTGCTTTATCCAAACTGAAGCCTGAAACAAGGTATTAAGTTTCAACAGTGCATCCCAAGGCAGGATCCCAACGTGTGGGATTCAAGACTTTGCCTCTGCAGCAGCTGTTATGCAGGGCCAGAGTGAATAATGTTCCTTGCTTGTCAGACTAGCCCTATGGGGAATCTTGGTCTGAAACTAAGAAGAGGCTGAGGAAGCCTTGAGAGGAGAAGACTCAGAGGGGACCTGTTAGTGACATACAGGTACGTGAGGGGGTGCCACGCAGAGGTGGGTCATGACCGTTTTTTTCCTTGCAGTGCAGGGCAGGGTGTGTTCCAATGCAGCAAAGCACAGGGAACCAAGGTTCAGTTCGGATGCCAGGAAGTACTTCTTGATGGCTAGGACCCCGAGGGCATGGAATGGGCTTCCACAAGAGGTGGTTGCAGCCCCATCGGTGAGGGTGTTCCAGGACAGGCTGGACGTGCGCAGGGTGGGCATGTCGTGAGTGAAGCCGGCTGGAGCCGGGGTCAGACTGGATGGCCTGGGATCTGTGTAACTCCATCCCACTTGGCATGTGTCCCTTGTTGTTCTCTGGGAGACAGACCTGGGCATGCCCTTTGCTCAGCAGAGGTCGCTCAAATAAATGATCCAGTCACACCCAGATATGTGGTATGTGTGCTAGTGAATGCTTGGCTTGGCCCTGAGCATGCCCAGATGCACCACCTTAAGACCAGGAATCCAGCAGGTAGGCAGGCAGGGATTTCTTCAAGCAGGCCTATGTGCTGCTGGGCACCCATTCCCATTTGCAAAGGTGTAGGGGTGGTTACGAGAGATTGGCAAAGTAAAGGATTAGTCAGGAGTCCGTGAGGAATCTGCTCTGGGGGTGGGACACCATCAGGTCCCCAATAGTCATGGAACCCTCACCAGAATCTGAGTCATGCATAAATACTGGGCAAGTGGCATCCCTTCTCCACATGATATACAGGCTTTGCTTCTGCTTCCCATGATATGACATGACATGACATGTCATGGTGTGTAAGAAGGGCGCTGGTTATGCAACCTTTGCTCCATGAGGGGAATTCACTTCCAACTCGACCTGCTTCCTAAGACCGGGATGGAAGGAAGGTGGAGAAGGCTAGAGGGCCAGATTCTGTGCAACTGTACCACAACCGTAAGATTGGAGGATTGTGTGTGAAGAAGGGAGGTTGCCAAAGGTTTTGTGGGTGGTATCAGGTTTGTGTCTATGCATTGTTGTGCATGTTGCACATGCTGGGATGTGCGACACTGGAAAACTTATTCCGTTTGAGTTTGATGGATTGCGACACTTTTCTGAACCAACTATCAAGAGATGAGCAAGTCAGCACGTTCTTCAACTTCATTGAAATTGCTCAAAATATTTGAGCCAGTTTAGAACTGCAAACTAAATATAATTAGCTCAGTTTCTGCAGATTGGGACACAGAAGTAAAAAAGCCCCTTCTCCCTCCCAGCAAATCGGGTCATCTTGACTTTTCTAGCGGTTAATTTCAGGTGTATGCAAAATACAGGTCTCCATCCTGTGTGCACAAATTTACAGAGCACAAACCTAAATTTTGTTCAGATTTCCCTGGCATTCTATAAAAAAGGCAAAGATCACACAAATCACAGTCCCATTAACCACAAAAATTCATATGCTGGCTCAGCTCATGTCAGACTGGACTGGCACCAACACAGTGTCGAAAGAATGAAATCTAGAAGCCCAAGTCAAGAAAGAAACTACTGAATTTTCACCCTGGTCTCGGCATCCTCACACATTCCTGGCACGTGCGGGTCCCTCCTGAGTGTGCGCAAAACCCCTTAAGCTTCTTTCAAATATTCCTCATGAATGTCGACCAAATCAAGATGCTTCTCTGCAAAGCTGGAAGTAGGTGAGGTACCTCATGAGGAGGAATTTCCAAACTCTCCTTGAATTTCTCCATTCTAGAAAATACCAGTAGCAGCTCTAATTAGTGCAACAGCTGTTGGTGAACGTGTCACCTTTGGCTCTGTTCATTTCTATAGTTCTGTGGTGCTAATAATGATTCAAACTGCATTTAATTATTTCCCCCAAAATATAATTAAATATAATACAGTCCCTGCCTCTTGCGACAAAAAAGCCCTCTTTCCCCTCCTAGAAGCTCAGATTCTGCTTCCTACTGTCAACAGAGGATGTAAATGATTTCATCTTAAATGTCTCAAAAGTATCATTGGTAATAAATAAAAATTACATTTTTTCCCAAGTACTACTTAATGAATGTTTAATGTTCATTCCAATTTAATGCAATCAATCTCTTGATAGCTCAGTGCTGATGATGCAATAGAATCACAATTAGGTTACAGTGAGCTCTATGTAGTAATAAAAACAAAATTTAATTACCTCTATTTTTAGGATTGGATTTTCTTTTCTTTTTATCCAAACCCAAATGGAGGACTACAAAGAGTTTTGTGAGTGAAAGCTGTCTTACATTTTGAAGGTTTGTAACTGCAGTGCCATTTAGTGATGGTTTAATTCTTGATGGGATTACGAAGGAACAAAATTGGGTAGAAGAGAAGGAGATCACTTTTTAAAGCTTTTCCTAAGGCAAAGGAGTTGTGGGAAGAGCACTGAGCTGTTATACTCAAAATTCAAAGGAACGTCCTCACCCAAATCTACTGCAGATTGCAAACGATTCTGGAGCATGTTCTAGGGTGCATGTGCCCCGTCTACTGCCCATGTGAACTGTACCTAGAACACACCTAGCCATAGCTCAGTGATGGAGCACATGATCCACAAGCTGAAGGTTCTGGATTCCCCGGGTAGGGCTGGGGAATGATCTGAAAGTCAGCAAAGACAATACTAGCCTGTGGACCAAAGGCATCTTCCTAAATTCTTGTTTCCTTGTCCTTGTGAGCTGCAAGAGATAGTCAGTGTCCAAGAGAAACCTGGTTCTCTGGAACACTTGCCCAACAAGCTGCTCCGTTTGACTGATTAGTCTTAGTGAGCTTCCAAGAAGTTCCAGGATGTCCCAGAACATGATTTTACATGAAGGGATTTGGGCTGTGGGATCTTTCTACTGGATCTGGTCAACCTTATATCAACGAGGGAACTGAACTGCCCACAAGCATATCATTTGGGACAGGAAGGAACTGTGAGTGGAGTTGCTGCACAGACACCAGACGGAAACTGGTGGGTGTGTTGGGGGACAAAGAGGCCATGGAAGGCATCGCCTCAGGGGTCGAAGGTCAGCCTGCTGCATTCCCACAACTATTCATCCAGAGCCGCATGCAGGTCTGCCAAAGGAGTGAAGTCAGAGTTTTGGAGGGCCTGGGACATGCACATGAGGTGGACGAGAGAAGACTCTCCCGGAGCTGTTGCCTGTCTGATGCAAAACAGCAAAGCAAGTGGGACTTTGAGGCAGTTTGCTTCGCTACATTAGAACAGCATCCAGAATGCAGAACCCTATGGAAAGGCCTCTTTTCCTGTCCTGGACTGAACAGGATGGGTAAAAGCTTAACCTGTTGAATTCCCAGGTGCCTGACAGCACTTGCTGGAGAAAAAAGGTGGCCATGCTGGATGCAAATTGACCAACTGAGCCTCCTTCAAGGTCACTGATGAGTGAAACCAGCCAAATGATGATAGATGCAATGAATATAGGGAATTCCAAGGAAAAACAGCCATTTTTAAAAAGATTCTCCATAGAAGGAAAATGGATGAAAGACAGTCAAAGCTTATGCATCAAACCCACAAAATAAACAAAACCCAATGCTGTGTACCATGGTCAGCATGCACAACAATGAATACTTACATAAATGTCTGCACCATAAAATCCATCCTGGTAAACAACACTGCGGGGATGCACACACAGAGAAAAACATTCATATTAGTGCATTTCCACATGCAAATGCCACCAACCCCTGAACCTTTGAGGTTAGTCTCATCACAGGAACAAAGCAAAACTGGAAAAGGTAAACCAAACCAAACGGCAATATATAAATATACATAAAATTTGCATAGGGTGGGGTGCTTTTCACATTGGCAGAGGAGTCTGGAGGTTTGTCATGGATCTTCTCGTTGATAAGGAAGGCTGTGCTCCTGACACTGCCCTGTGACGGCGGTGCGCCGAGTCCCTGGCGCGAGGCGAGCCATGCCGTATTTGGAAGTGCTGCCACTGTGTGCATTCCCACCCTCCAGCAGTGTCACACCTGTTGCAACGCCCAGCCTAGCTCTAGCAGTGGTGCAAACATGATCTTGTGAACGGTCTAGTCCAGGGATCCTGCCTTACAACCAAAGAAATGTACTGCCATTCATACGATGCTCCAGTGCCAGCGTGAGGCGTGGAGATGCTCCCACCCTCCAGCAATCATTCCTGCCTGCACTTTAACAGATGAAGGGCCCTTGCACAGAACCCGCCCTCACGCCTCTGCTCTCCCAGTTCATCTTCCCGACTCCCTTTCCTAAGACAGATACCACAACAGGCACAAACCGTTTTGGTTTTGCACAAATCCTGCTAGAGCCACGTGGGTTTTACATACCTACTTCTGCTAATTCCATTTTTGTATGCATGTATGTATGTATTTCATTTTTATAGTGCACAATATCCAAGGCTGTCTGGTGGTTAACGAAGGTATGTGCACACAACACGTGCTCACAAACTTAAAACAATAAAAACACAATAGCAATTGCAAGTCAAAATTCAAAAAAGGCTTTAAAAAGTTTTTAAAAATGCTTTAAAAGGGGGAAATTTCCACAAGACATAGCCTGTCTTTTGTTAACAGCACAGCTATTGGGAAATATAAAAGTATGAACCTTTTCATTCATAAAAATGAATCATCTAAATGAACTATCTTGCAAATATCTAAAAATCAACTGCCCCAAGCTGCCTTGACTCACATCACAGCAATTGGCATCAGTGTAGAACTAATAAACCAGGATCTGGAGTGTTGAATCATCAAAATTAATCCCCTCCAACTGGGTTCCCCATACATTCCTAGTTAGAAAAACCTTCAATCTGGAATTCGGAGAACTTTGGGGGGCTCAGGTTTGGCTGATTCTCCACCCCTAACTCTTGGCAATGAAAAACAGTAAGTCTGCCCTTCATTTATTTATTTATATTCATTCTACTCCTACGCTGCCCCATAACCCAAAGGTTCTCTGGGCGGCTTACAAATGCTGAAAACAGTCTGCAGCACAATTGACAAAACAATTAATAAAAGAGATAAATTAGATAAAACAATAATAGATTACAACCATCTCATGCTGAAATATAAACCACACGCAACATGATAAATGAAACCATTAACAACCAAAAATTAAATTAATAATCTATAACAAACTATAAATGAGAAATAAATTGAATGAACCAAAATCTTGTTTGAACAAAAACATTTTCACCTGGCATCTAAATGAAAGAATTTTTGGCTCCAGCCATATGTCCCTGGGGAGCGAGTTCCACAGCCCAGGCACTACTCCTGAACATGCCCCTTCCGAGTCCTTTCCTCCCAGGACTCATGGCAGGGTAGACTGAGGAGGAGTTCCAAGGAGGATCCAAGTGGACGGGAAGGAATAGATGGAGAAAGGCACTCCCTCAGCTACCCGGGTTCCAAGCCATTTAGGGCTTCGTACATCAAAGACAATTGGAATTGAGTCCAGACTGGAACAGGGAGCTGATGGAAGACTGGCATGAGACGTTCTCACCAGCCAGTCCTTGCATACAGCCATGGAGCCCTGCTCTGTACTAGCCGTAGTGTCCGGGCCATTCTCAAAGGTACCCCACGTAGAGGACATTGCAGTAATGCAGGCAAGAGGTTACCACCGCATGGGTCAGTGTGGCAAGGCTCTGCTCATCCAAGCAGGAATGTAGCTGAGAAATCAGCCAAAGCTGAAGAAAGGCGCCCCTGGCCACTGAGTCCACCTGAGAAAACAGGGGACGTGTGGGGTCCAGGAGCATCTGTAAGTGATGAACCTTTTCCTTTGGGGGGGTGTAACCCCATCCAGGGCAGGTTGTCTATTATATTTATATTCCATCTGCTTTCCTTTCAGGAAACTTAAGGCAGCTTACATAATTCTCCTCCTCCTCTCCCTCCTATGGCAGTGGAACCAGATGCCTAGAGAGGTGGTGGGCTCTCCCGCACTAGAGACATTCAAAAAGAAACTGGGCAGCTATCGGAGTGGGATGGTGCAAACTGGTGTCCTGAAACAGCAGGGAGCTGGACCTGAGGGTCTTCATGGCCCCTTCTAACTCTACCATTCTAGGATTCTATGATCCTCACAACAACAATCCTGTGAGGTAGCTTGGGCTGAGAGTCTGAGCACCCTAAAGTCACCCAGTGAACTCCATGGCTGAGGAGGAACTGGAACCCAGATGGCCTGAGTCCCAGTCCAACATTCTGACTACTACTCCACACCTGCTTGACCAGATTGGGCTGCCAGGGTTTGAAGTAACCTATAACTTGCCATTTTATTGCCACATCCTGCCCTAATTAAGTTTGCTGGGAGTCAATTAATCCTTCTTTACATTTGCAGAGTTTCCTCTTCGGATGCGGCAGCACTCCCCTCTGGCACGCTGCACCCATCTTGCTTGCCTCAAGCCAATTCAGCTATGAAGGTTCAAGTGCAGCCTGATGTGAGTGTGAGTTTAGGGATTTGTAAGCATTTAGAGAGCACACGGTGTGTCCAGATGTGTAAAGAGGGAACATCCATATGATTTGTACAGAAACACAAAATCCCTACTTTCATCACCTATAAATGGATCAAATGGGACAGGGGCAGGATGAATTCTCAGCCCGTGTTACCAGTTATGGATGCAAGCAGGGGAGGGAGTTGTGCATGCAACCAGAAGTCCTGGTTCCAACCAAGAGGAGTGCTCTGTTTGGGACTACAAATGCATGAGGGCTTGATATTCAAGGAACATCACTAGGCAAATGATTGCTGTACCTGATGTCAGGGCTCACAGGAGGGGCGGCCCAGGTCTGCACATCGCCGACACGTGTACAAAGTACAGGGCTGCTGGCAGGATAAAGGCTTGGCCTGTACACGCAGCTCCTGCTGCAATGGATTCATGTGGAAAAATATAGTGCAAAGGGGCTCGTAGGCCTGGTGCTGGAGGGCTACCCTTGAAAGGTGTCCGCACATGAAAGGGCAGGGCAGCCAACCAACTGGCTTCCTGCAAGAAGGCCAGCAGGCATGGAGGAAGACTGTGCCAGCAGGGACCTTTTCTCCCTAATGTGCTACAGTTTGTTTCTACTTGGTTGGTGCTATTCTTTTTTACAATGAAACAGTAAACAGCTTTATGCACTATGATTTGCCCCCCCTTCCCTTTTTTTCCTTTTTGCTTTTTCTTCTTATTTTATTTTAATTTTTTTACAACTATGAAAAGCAGTTAACACAGTAACAACAATTGTGACTGAACATCACTGATCAAACGACACATCAGCATCCGTGCTCCCTCCACCAGGACCATCAACTCTAGTTGCTTAATGTACGATCATTTACTCATTCAGGTTGCCCCACTCCCCTTCCAGAACCACGTGGACTCTTGTGGTGGGTCACACCCTTTTCCTTTGATTAAGACATATCCAATAAAAGGTTTCCAAATATTTTCTAATTTATTTTTATTTGTCAAACCTTTTTTCCATTTAATATCACAAGCTAACTTATCATTAATAGCTATATTCCAGACCTCTTTATACCAGTCAACTGTATGATAAACACCTTTTGTTTTCCAATTCCTTGCTATTATTAATCTTACTGCTGTTAATGAATTTATCATCAATTCTTTAGTATTTTGTCCCATCTGTTTGCTAAATAATGACAATAATGCTAATCCAGGGTCAACTTCAGTACTTAAATTCAATATTTTACCAATTTCTTAAGAATCCTTTCCCAGAACTCATACATTTACACTTCTACCATATATGGAAATATGTACCCATACTATAAGTTGATGCTGACTTGTGTAGCTGCCCTGAAATGTTTAATGTCAAACATAATTTGGAAAGAAATTGGAAATAAAGCTGCTACAATTATGTTCCCCTTATGCAAACCACATTTAGAATACTGTGTACAGTTCTGGTCCCTACACCTATAAAGGATACTGTGGCGCTGGGAAGTTGTGGGAAAGGGGCAATTAAATTATCAAGGGGCTAAAATGACTCACCTGTGATGGAAGGTTACAACTGTCTGTTTAGCTTAGAGATAAGGAGAACGAGGGGAGACCAGACAGAGGTGTGTGCAAAATTATGCATGGTGTGGAGAAAGCAGATAGGGAGACACTGTTCTCCCCAAAACACTAGATCCTGGGGTCATCTCATAAAGCTAATTGGTGGAAGATTCAGGACTGAGAAACGCCCCACATCACTTCCAGAAGATGCCACGGTGGCCACTGGTTTGGATGGCTTAGAATGGGTACACATTCTTTGGGTAAGGCTACTGGTTCTGGGGGCTCTATACTACTCCCAGTTACATGGGCTGGAAAATGATGCTGTATTCATGTCCTTCTTGTGGGTTTCCATGGGCAACTGGATGATCCCTATGCAAACAGAATGTTGGACCAGGTGAACCTCTGCTCTGATCCATCATGGCTCCCATGGCATATGTGCTTGGCAAAATTGACTTTAGTTGGATGCTTCTGCTAGGGAAGCCAAGATTCCACTTGGATGCCAGGAAGCACTTCCTGACAGTCAGGACCCCGAGGGTGTGCAATGGGCTTCCACGAGAGTTCGTTGAGGCCCCATCGGTGCAAGTGTTCAAGGATAGGCTGGACCTGCACATGGTGGGCATGTCGTGAGCAGAGCCGGCTGGAGGCAGGGGTCAGACTAGATGGCCCGGGAGGCCCCTTCTGACTCGC